GCAAAAGGCACACAATTTTATTTCTAATAATGACAGCAAGATAAATACATAATCATTCCCAATATATATATTCACCACTCATTACTAGTTATTAGGATTACAATATCAGAGAAATCCTTGTAATTATATAAATTACATATGCAGTTTCATTTCCCTTCATTCTCAGCTTCTTCAGAAATGAAGATAACAAAAAAAAAAAAAAGTAACAATATAGAAAAAATTGTTTAGTAATCATAATCTAGAAACTCAGAAGTAACATCAACCTCTTCGTCTTTGACTTTTATTTCCCCTTCTGGGTCTGAAAGATATGCTGACAGCAACATGGCTGAACTTTGCATAGTGGCCTGTTTACCACCTTTGCTTCTTGCTGGAGATAAATCTAATTGTGTATTAGAAAAGTCTTCCTGATTCTCCTTATAATGACCTAAAATATGATTTCTATATTCAGTTACATGGATACTTTCTTCCACTTTTATGTGGCTTTCATTTTCAATGGGAGTAATTTCTTGGTCATCACTAGACTGATATTTACTTTCCTCTTTTAAACCCAGGATTCTTTTCCTTAATTTCAGGCACATCCCAGCTCTCTTCAAGATATGGGCCCATCTCCTGGTCCTTTTTGCAATTTCTGGGGTTGACTCCGAGTCTTCAATTGGGAACAAGGTGTCGTTTGATGGTCTTCGTCTTTTTGACCAGCTTGACTTTGTCTGAGATTTCCCTGGCCTTTTTTTTTGCTTTTGCTTTGGGCTGCGACGTAGCTTTTCTGCAGTTTTTGCCCTTTTTTTAGGTGAATTTTCTTTACTTGCAGGAGATATTCGATTTTTTTTCACTGAAGGGCATGATTTAATCTTTCTTTTGCAAGGAGACTTCAATGATTTAGGTCTTTTGGAGTTGATCCGCCTCATATTATCTGCATGTTTAAGACAACCATACGCATCAACTATGTCTTTGGGCAGTTTCTCCAACTGCACAAAACATGGCCTGATATTCCACTTAACTAAGGCATGGCAAAGGCCCTTAAGATCCCGAATTGCTAGTTCATTCATTTTGATGGGATCTCTCCTCAGCCCTGAATTCTTTAATAAACTGTAATCTAGAATATTATTTTTACTTAAGAGTGCAATACTTCTGGTAACACAAACATCTTTTACCTTAGAAACTGTTTTTTCATCTATACTGATAGTTGTAGTACCAAGTATCTTTTTTTTCTTTCCTTGCTCTCTCCTATTTGCCTTTACTTTCCTGTTTCCTCTTTCGGTTTACATTCACAACATGACTGTCAATGCTTGCATCACTAGCTGCAGTTTCTGAGCTTTTTCTTAATAATTTTCCTTTTCTTGAAGCTTTAGTGGCAACTTCTGGGTTACGGCAATGTGTCCTTTTATCTCTCCGATGCTTGTTGCGAATTTGACTATGTAAATCCGGAGTTTTCTTATTACTTACACAGGAATGTTCTAATTGATCTGCTTGTAAAGAACTGCCTTTTGTACTACAACTTACTTCTGGGATTTTCATATTCTTACTGATTTTAGCAAGGGGATCAATCAAATTTCTTTGAGTAGTCTCAGATGTCTTTGAGTTTATTGTTCTATTCTTTGTTTGTAATGCATCTACTGAGATTAAACATGCAGCATTTTCTTCTGCTGAAACTGTAGATTTATGTAAATGCGTTCTTAATATTCCTTCACTGCTTACCTGATGTGCCTCGCCATCAACCTTATGCATACTATTTTCATTTTCACTAAATTCTGATACTAATGCTTCCAAATGCTCTTTACTTTCTACCAGAACATCACTGCTAGTCTCATCTTGCCCTATGTTACTAACAATTTCTTTGTCAACAACTACATCACTCCTTTCATCCAGCTCATAAGCTTTGGTTTTAGGAACAGAATTAACGATCAGTAACAACTTCTTAACAATACTAACTGGGATCTGTACCATACCGCTTTTCAGACCATCTGCACTTTTGGTCTCTTGGTTACAAATAGATGAGTTAGTGACTTCTTTAACAGTATTCTCACTATCAAAACTTCTTTGGCATTGTTGGCTTACATCAGGAGAATGCAGTGGAACTTCTGCAACAGACAACCTATGGTTATTAGACTTATGAATGTTGTCAATTTCTCTCACTGCCTCAGATGCCACATGGAGTTCAGCATCAAGGACAGAGTCATCTGAACTGCTGATAACAGATTTTTCTGAATTACCATGTGATATTCTGTGGCACTCCTCACTAATCAGGTTCCCAGGTGTATAATTTCCATTATTTACAAACTCTCTGCTATTTGCATTTTCAACACTTCCTTCATTTCTACTACCTCTTTCTTCAGTATCTTCTATAGTTACTATGCTTGCTACCATATCTGAATCCCTTTCAAGCCTATTTTCATGTCCCTCTCTTGATTTCGAAAATTGACTACATGCATTACCTTCATCTTTATCTACTTCACTGTTTCTTCTATCCTGCTCTGTAATCAACCTTTTGTCTCTCAATTGCTTACTGCCTTCATCTTCAAATAATAAAGGTTCTTCAGTCACAATTTTATTGGTATTCTGAGCCAATTCCTCAGAATCTTGAAACAAAATGCTTTTGTTATCATCCTCATCATCATCTTCACACTTCTTTATACAAAGACACAATTTACCATGCGTCTCTAAATCATCTGATTTGCTGAAATGTGCTCCGCAGCCAGGGCAATACCAGCAATTTGAAAGACTCCGATGTTGAATGTTCATATGTGAGATGAGCATCTGTTTGTATCCAAACACTGCTGGACATTTCTTACAGCTATACTTTATCACTCCTGTGTGACGTCCCATGTGTGATCGCAGCTTGTGCCTGAACTTGAATTTCAAGTGGCACACTTTACATTCAAAGGGGTCACTGTGTGATTCCATGTGGACCTTCAGGTTCCATTTTTTCTTAAAGCTGGAACCACATTCTGCACATATAAAAGGCCTTGAGTTATCTTGTGAATTCATTCCCAATGAAAAAATATTACCCTACATATGAATTAACAAATATATATAATATATAATACTTGAAAATAGTCATAGCTTCATCCCTTGGCAGTCTCTGTGTCACTATGCTTGCTAGGCCAACTCGTCAGATCTATAAAGAAAGAAAGAAAGAAAGAAAAAACATAAATAAACAAACTCCAAAACAGATGTAAAAAAAAAAAAAAAAAAAAATCACAAGCAGAAAATGAATGATCCACTTAGCAATGTAATGGTCAAAGTATATTATAATCCAAAATAGTGGACAAAGTGAATCAACCCATTATATTCATAACTATATTTATGTATATATGTTTATATATATGTATGTGTGTGTGTATATATATATTTTTTTTCAACAGCCATTCAGTCCACTGCAGGACATAACCCTCACTTATTTCACAAATGAAAGGTTATTTGGCAGTACCTCCCTTGTCTGATTGGATGCCCTTCTTAATCAACCGCAGTTCAGTGTGCTAACACTTGTGCCATGGCAGCTTCCCCTACAACACCTGTGTTTGACTTCTCAAGCTATTATGTTGCTACGAGCCAGCAGTCATAGCACACGCGTGAGAGAGAGACAGTCAAACGCAAGTATTGTAGGCAAAGTCACTGTAGTGACACAAGTGCTAGCGTGCTGAACTGCATCCAATCAGGCAAGGGAGGCACTGCCATATAACTTCTCAAATAATGAACACAGAGAGGCCTATGTCCTGTAGTGGAATGAGTGTGGGTGTGGTATGTGTGGGGTGTGGTGTGGTGTGGTGTGGTGTGGTGTGGTGTGCTCTGATGTGTGTGTGTGCGGTGCGGTGTGTGTGCATGTGGTGTGGTATAAATATATGGACATATATACATATATCATTAATCACAAGACTTAAAGCATCAGATAGAGAATGGGATCCTTTTAAATTTTAAGCAAGTTAATGGTATCATTGGAATGGAGACCAATAACTTCATTAGAAAGGGGATTCAAAATATTGTACCCTTGCCCTGGTGAAGGCATACATTTACATACAAAGAGCAATATGTATAATTATAAAGAATTTTCAATATGTGCAAAAACTATATATATAAATAAATAATAAATGAAGCTTAAATTTACGTAGACATCTATGAACTATATCAACTGAATCCAAGACATTAATTATTACTCAATAAATAACTAAAATTGTGACTTTATGGTGGTATCTTTGATAAGGCTTAGGCTATCTCTTAGAAAATTAAAAACTACTGAATGGGAAAGAAAAGTTCAAATTTCATAATCTCAGAAGAAATGCCATCACATTATTATTTTTGTTTTCCATAACAAATATAAATAAAAATATGAATAAACCATAAAATCATTCAAACCATTAAAAAGCCTTCTGAAAAGAACATCAGCTAAATAATCAAAATAAAATGAAAATTGTAACATTTAGGATAGTATATATATATTAATGCTCCTCCTAAAAATCATGGAGGCGATTCATCAAGGTGCTTGCTTACTTACCAAAGTAAAATCAAAGTAAAAACTCACAGATTTTGGATGAAAATTCCCAGGCGGACCCATCAACTTCCCAATTTCTGGAAAACAATCAAGAATACAGTTCCTTATCTATTCACATTTGTAGAAAATAATGTGGAACTTTCCGCCCTATGAAAGAAAATTCAGAAGGGATTACATTTATGTGTTGTGTTTTGGCAGAAAAAATAAATGTTTGGTAGAATTAATATTTTCCTTGTTCATTTTTTTTTCTCCATATTATTTTCTGATTATGTAAAATCTTTAATTTCATCATTCATTTTTCTCAAATCAACTAATTTGAATCTATGACTTACTCTTTTCTTATCTGAATGGTACAAACCCTGCCTGTGTGACAATGGAATCTTTTCATAAGTAATTCTTGGTAACACTATATAAAATAAAAGGCTTATCTATCCTTGATGAATAATCTAAAACTCTAAGAACACAGCCACATCTGCCAGCAATACCTGGCTAATTTATGTGGTAGGTCAACAAACCTTCCTCACATATGGATGATATCCTGTGCAAAAATCTGATCATTTATTGTTAAACAAAAAAACATTTCAATTTCTATCTTGCTAGATTATATATACATATGCAGAGTTCAATGTCCTCTGATGAAGGTACAGAGACCTTAATTTATGCTTGACAATGCATCACTATGCAATTGGACTTCCAATTGCATAGTGATGCATAGTGAATATACATGTATGGAGTATAGCCATTATAATCATAAGAACAATGCACTGAAAATTTTGAAAGCCAACACAGATATCTTCAAAACATGCACAAATTAATGTCTAGCATAGCTGAGAAAAATTAATAAACTAAGCAGGTTTAGAAGCTTTATGCCTTGGTGAAATTCAGAAAATATAGATGTATTTTGTTGAAACTTTACAACAGGGCTACAACCTTCAGGGACTAACATAGTACTATCAAAACTCTAATAGGATCCTTAAACTCTACCCTTATAAAATTAACCCTAAACTTCCCTTGTTCTAAATCAGAAATCTCACACCTTAACCCCCCCCCCCCAGTGGTTGGCAGAATTCTTTAAAAAAAATATATTACACATTTCGATTCTCAAATATTTAAAAATTTAATCACATCTGCACATAATATTTGGGACTTTGAATGATGTACAGTGATTGTAGGTCTATTTAAAACAGCTGATAAGGTTTTCTACAACCTTGTGTATATTTTCATTCTGCAATGTTACAAATTATATAGAGTTCTAAAGAAACTGATTATTAAAAATCAACAGCTAAGATCATTATTGGATTCTAGAGAAAAACTGAAAGAAAATTATGAAGAATGGTCACGTGATACAAAAATTTGGCTTGAGGGGCAGGTGATGTGAACATGCCATCATGGAAAAATTTGGCTGAAGGCCTGGGTGACAAACTTGCTGTCAAGAAAATTTCAGTTGAAGGTTTAGGGAGAGGGAAAATGGCATTCTAGAATATCATATTTCTTGAAGCGGTTTGTAAATGGGGAAAGAGATCCTTAGATTTCTTTAACCCAATGCCACTAGGTGATTTTCCAATATGTAAGCCCTCCCTCCTGGGTGGTATTCATAATGGCATGGGCCCAGCTGCCAGAGGGTCATGTCATCAGCCTAGCATGTGCGACCACTCACACCCAATAGTAGCATTCCTTGCCTTCTCTTTGTAATACTAAAAAATTATTTTGTATTTTCAGTATTCTCACTTTCTAAGGTCTATATTTGCCATGTTTTCTGATAAGTCAAGACTGTAGTTTATACATATATACATATATATATATATATATATATATATATATATATATATATATATATATATATATATATATATATATATATATATATATATATATATATAAATTAATTTATCTATTTTTTTAAGTAGACTCCATAATTAATTATAATTTTCTCTTTTATCTGAGCAAATTAAAAAAGTAAGTTTTTATTGCATTTTTCCCACATTATCTTAAAAAATCAACTTTAATTTCAGAACATGGTTTACATCACTTTGTGAGTATCATATGCATATAATTTTCTCTGCCAGAATGTGGCTTCATATACGATTTTGTCATACTGTTTCATATATATATATATATATAAATATTTTTTCAAACAAAATGTCTCAGTATTTTCATGTGATATACATCATAGTATTATATTATACAATCAAAATTTTATATTCATAATTTTATATTGGTGGTGCTACTGATAAATAAAGATTGTAATTTTCTGGCATACTCATTCCATATTAGTGTGTAAAGGAGTAAAATATAGTATAGGAGGATGTGCAGATTTTTGGGGGGTTTTGTAGATTTATTAACGAAAATGTAGTATACGTACAATATATACGAGGTCGTGGCATGAGGAGGATCACCAAGACAGATGTGTTCAGAGTGTGGTATTCCTCAAAGCAGGAGACCCAACAGAGAAGAACATCACACCCTCAACACATCATCTTGGTCATCCTCTTTACGCCACCAGTATAGCTAGTCTGCACCTTCAGTATCACCTGTGAGGCATAGAAATCTGGCAATGAATACCCTTACTTAACCCAATGTCACTGGGAAAATTTAAATAAAATTTGTGAAGTGTTTCTGCACATAGATGGCTACTAATGTTTAGCCATAAAGGAGTCAGTTAGTAATCTTGTGACCTTGCCTGATTTCACCTTTCCTTGAATTTATTTTTCACTAATGCTATCAATTTTGAGGGTGTTATTCATATTATAAACATAGTTATTATAATGTTACTGATATTAGTTGTGGCAATACAAGATAAAATATTCTAAAAAATCAAGGAAAAGCGTAAACCAAGTGAGACAAGTAATACTCATAATTAGTGGAACCATCTATATATAAACAATTAATAAAGTAACCTTAAAGTGAACATGGTGGTTCTGGGTTAAGATGAGGCATTGTAAGTGGGGAGCGGGAGCAGTGACTATGACCTGACCTCTCTACTGCTGCCTCCTTGCTGCAAGAGCTCCTCTCCA